GAAGCATGTAAAGGGGAAAGAGACGGGAATCGGTGCACTATGCCGTGCATACACGTGCGCGAAATATCGCGTGAGGGTCTATGGTAATGGAAAAGTGGGCGCCCGAAATCTCACCTGCAAGCTAACTGCCAGGGGTGCCGCTAGCTCTCCTTGGCGGCATGAACGGGCGGCGCGAGGACATGACCGCCATCTTGGAACGGCCAGATGTCCTCTCACCGTACAGTGTTGAGGACGGTCCCTGCGAAAAAAGAGGGGTTGCAAGGCATGTTAGGGATACATCGTGAACCGTACACCGTGACCATGACAGTTTGCCGAAGTATGCAAGGGTAGAAAATTATGCCTTTGTTTACGCTCACGCAAAAGTGGTCGGACAACCGATGCTGTAAAAACCCGGGCACGCTGCAAGTCGCCGCGCTGATCGTGGTGGAGGGGCGTGCCAACAAGCACACCATCCTGTGCTGGAGGGATGGGTGACGTTGGCTCGGTCCTCCGATGTGAGCCCATCATCTCGTGCCTCTCTCCCTCCTCGTCCCGCTCCTCATTGACCCTTTGCCTCATGGGGTGTTGCCACTCATCCATGATTCGGTCCACCCATCTCCAATCCATTTTCCCAAGGACTCGTGTATGGGCTCCGCGACGAATCCGTGTTACTCGCACCACTCGCGTCACATATGCCTTTACCAGTCTATCCATACAATTGTTCCAGTGCAAGACAGCAAGGTGGGTCCGTGCCACAAAGCTGCCCTGGAATCTGATGCATTTAGGGGCATATTTGAAGATGAGGGAATGAAACGATTCATTCAGAGAACTAGTAGCCCCATGAATGAACACCTTCACCTGCTCGACGCCATAATGTTTTTGTAACCACTCTGACACCGCCTTGTGAGTTGCTGACTCTGGTGCGTACACACGTTCAGACAACCCCCATTTCTCCGTAACGCAACGTGGGGGCACAACACCTGCTCGGTCGCAGCATGTATGAAGTCCGGCCCAATGATCAGCAGCCATGCAGATCTCCTCTGATACCGCTTTAGGAGTCATTGGTCTCCCGTCACGCTTGCACACTCTACACCGCATCATGACATGATAGAAATGGATGACGAGGCGCTGCGCAACTGTGACCTCCGCCTCGCCTTTGGTAGCCGCACCCCTTCTCCGCTTCTTGCGCTCGGACCAGCGGGGCAAAACCCCGCCATCAGCGACTTGCACAAGCACACTTGCTGCAGCTGACATAGAGGCGGCAGCGGGTGCGGAGACATCGCTAGGTGGTGGCCCACCTGTTCCATCTACACACGAGGGTGGCAAATTTTCAAGGAAGTTTGGTGACAAAATACGAAAGAGGGATAGAGAAGGACGAGCCTGCCTGCTTGAATTCGAAGGGGATCGCTTACCTGGTGGTGCCGGAATCACCTGCCATGGCATCGCCCCGCCCATGAAATGCGCACACTCATCCCCCCCGGTGAGTGCATGGACCATGAGAGATGATGCCTCAGAGTTCGGTCGGATCCCTCGGCTGGAATGAGCGTCGTAGCCCCAGAGCTCTCCCATGTTGTCAAACTTCACCTCAACCGTGACCTCCCCTGTGAATGCCTCTGTGTCGCCCTCCTCCAACGCGCCTGCTACTTCTGAACAACCCCCCTTCTTTGCCAATTTCTTTGCGGCCGCCCCCCTCACACACGACAGGGACGTCCACAAGCCCTCCATCCCCGTCAATCCGCATGACCTTGCGAAGCTCCGGGTACAAGTACTTGGCTTCATCCAGAGGCATAAACCTGTAGGGGAAATTGCCCATCTTCTTACACACCGTCTCGACGAGCGTCTCTTTCAGGGACTCTCTGGCCTCTTTTTTTAAGTTCTTATCCCGAAGCCAGCGCTTGAGACTTTCTACGCTCGATATCCATAACTCCTCTATCTTGGTTACATCCTCGACCGGCACCACTGCTCTAACTGCATCTTGCAGTGCTTTGAACCCTTTATACATGGACTGTTTGGCGTGCCACCAATCGACTTGGTGGTTCAACACCCTGTCCCTCGCCGCTCCCTTGAATGTACTCCCCTGGTCCGAAATTATCCCCGTGATGGGAAACTCCATCTCCCTCATCTGGTCCATACCCTCATCGAATGCTATTCGCTCAAGCTTCACCAACAGGGATCATGCTTTCCCTTTCTCGTTGTCACGATGCACAGAATCTTTCGAGACGCATTATCCATCCAAGATACTGTACACCACTCCCTCTCCCTCACCTGCGACCACCGTCCGTCAACACTCACGTAATCTGCTACGCCTTTTTTGCTCATTATTTCTCTCCTCACGTCCTCCATCGACCTTTCGGCTTCACGCACGATAGCTTTCCACAGTCCACCCTCCCCTCCTAGGTGCCGGTAGAAGGTTGCCTTAGCCGGACAAGGTGGCTTGAACGTGCGACTAAACTCCCACATTTGCTGATAACCCATGCCCGCCAGTGCAAACGACCCTAGATACTTAGTGAGTTGCGTCGGTGACCTAGGCCCTTTTTTCATACAACCGCCCTCTAGCTCTCTTCTAGTGCAAGTCCAGAAATATACTGTGTGTGCGCAATGTGTGCACTCCCAATACATGCCCAACGAAGCCCATGACTGGTTGACGGCACAAAGGCGCATCGACCCACCGCACATTACATGGTGCGAGCATACCAACTGACACCCTCAGAAGAATCCCACCGTGTGTTTGACCTCCAGCAACCCCACCTCGGCGCCTTGGAGCCCCATCACCTCTGGCGGTTCAACCCAACCCCTTGGAAGCTTCTTGCGTTTTGCTGGTTTGGCCGGTGCGGACTGCGGCATGGTCGGACACCTGAACGGGCATTACCATGGTTTGGAGGCACAAGGTTCAGACAGGGTTGTGCACCTGTCATGGCATGTCCAAGAAACGATGGAGTTTGAGACAAAACTGTGCATGCACGCTTGCGAATGTACTAACCTGGATGGTGTACCCGCCTGGCCAACTGGCCCACCAGGTGTGGATGGTGCCAGCAATCTCACAGCACTTTCGGCCGCACCCATCGATATAGCATCCCTGCATGTGCACAAGTAGGAGGGTGACATCAAAGTTGGGCGATTAGGCTTGGGGCATGCGTACAAGGTGGCCAGATGAAAAGGCACTTCTTGGGGGGATAAACCGAGCACGCGTGCAAAGGTGCATACATGGGTGGTGTTACAACGTGGGCAGCGGGCCCACAAGGTGTCGGTGGTGCTGGCATTCTCCTTGAATTCCGGCACCACCCACTGATATGCATCCGTGGTTGGGCACGAATGGGCGACAATATCATGGAGAGGCATCGCGGTTCGGAGCATGCAGTCAAGGGCTAGCAATCACCACGAGCATTATGGGTGTGCAGCACGATGCCATATTGGGCACACTTTCAATGCCTTGCGAGATGTTTGTTTGGCACTTAGCGGTAGTGCCAGATCGACACTTCATAAGAGAGGAAGAGGGTACCCAACACCGAGGGGAAATGGAGGCAGTAGAGTGCGCCCAGGCCCAGGCGCACGTGCTTACCGGGCTGGTGTGACCGGCTGGACAGCTTGCCCACCAGGAGTGGATGGCGGCGCTGACAATCTCCCTGCCCTCACGAGTCCACCCGCTGACGCAGCATCCCTGCAAGTGAGCAAGTGGGGGGGCGACATTATGGGTGGGCGAGCCAGTATTGGGTTAGCGTATGACGAGATCCATGCTGCAAGTGCTGCTTTACCTGCACGGGGCTGGTGCGGACGATCCTTGCCCGGTCCCCGGGACTTGGGTTGTGACATCCCCATCAGCCGTGAATATTGAGGAGGCCTCCATTGTTTGACGGGCAGTCTCCATACGCCTTGCTGTGGTCGGGTTGTGCATAGGAACAAAAGGGTACCAATGGAGCATGCAATCGTCAAGGGTTATACGACGTCTGACCACAACTAAACACGATGAGTCACTGCATCGGATCATAAGTTCCCTCGCCCCTTGTGGGAGCCCACGGCTTACCCTGCTCTTTTCAAAAGCCTGGCCACGCCGCACACCACCCCAACCAGGACCGTCTTTCGGGCCTATTTTGCCACTAGCTTTTTCCTCATAACGCTTGAAGCCGAAGCGCACCCCAGGGAGAGCACAGTTGGGGCGACGCAGTAATTCAGATGCTGTGGCTGGCCCCCCGATAATCCGGCCATTGAAGATTTGTGTGTACGCAGTCTTGTGCAATGCAAACATACGTTTGGTGGAAATCATGCAAACATACGTAGATTTATTAGATCCCCAAAAGGGAATTCAGGGTGTGTGGATTGTTGGTGTAAAATCTCAAAAAACTCACATGCATGCTGTGCAGCCTCCTCTAGACTGTTGATCGCCGTTTCGGCATGCTCAGCAAGGAAGTGCAGTAGATCATCCACAGTAGCCACCCTCTCCTCCAAAACAACTTCACGGTCAATCTAATACGCCACAGTGCAACTCGATCTTGCATGTGGACCGTGAGGGTGACCGTGCCCCGGCTGGCCTCAGTGATCGCGTTCTGCGCCGGAAGTATTCTTCTACCTTGAGAAACATTCATGCCTTGTGTTGCCAAGGGTGGTCATGCGGTGTGGGGGGGGGGAGTGGAAGAGTGGAAGAATGGCTGATGTTGGTGAAAGGATCCCAACTACATTGTTGGTCATTTGGGCCAATGTTGCTCAGTGTGGCATTGATAGGCATTCTTAGGCATAAATAGGCTTTCACAAGCATTCCAAGGCATTCAAAAGCTTCCAAGGAGAATCGGTGCTCTCTCCCTCCCTCCCTCCCTCCCTCCCTCCCTCCCTCCCTCCCTCCCTCCCTCCCTCCCTCCCTCCCTCCCTCCCTCCCTCCCTCCCTCCCTCCCTCCCTCCCTCCCTCCCTCCCTCCCTCCCTCCCTCCCTCCCTCCCTCCCTCCCTCCCTCCCTCCCTCCCCTCCCCCTCTCTCTCTCTCTCCCTCTCTCTCTCTCTCTCTCTGCCATGCAGATCCCTCCCCTCCGCTGACAACCCCCCTCCCTCTCCTCCTTCCCCACTCTCTCTCTCTCTCTCTCTCTCTCTCTCTCTCTCTCTCTCTCTCTCTCTCTCTCTCTCTCTCTCTCTCTGCCATGCAGATCCCTCCCCTCCCCCGACAACCCCCTCCTCCTCCTCTCCTCCTTCCCCACTCTCTCTCTCTCTCTCTCTCTCTCTCTCTCTCTCTCTCTCTCTCTCTCTCTCTCTCTCTCTCTCTCTCTCTCTCTCTCTCTCTCTCTCTCTCTCTCTCTCTCTCTCTCTCTCTCTCTCTCTCTCTCTCTCTCTCTCTCTCTCTCTCTCTCTCTCTCTCTCTCTCTTTCTCTCTCTTTCTCTATCTCTATCTTTCTTTTTTTCTCTCTCTCTGTTTCTCTTTCACTCTTGCTCTCTCTCTACCTCTCTCTCTCTCTCTCTCTCTCTCTCTCTCTCTCTCTCTCTCTCTCTCTCTCTCTCTCTCTCTCTCTCTCTCTCTCTCTGCCATGCAGATCCCTCCCCTCCCCCGACAACCCCCCTCCCTCTCCTCCTTCCCCACTCTCTCTCTCTCTCTCTCTCTCTCTCTCTCTCTCTCTCTCTCTCTCTCTCTCTCTCTCTCTCTCTCTCTGCCATGCAGATCCCTCCCCTCCCCCGACAACCCCCCTCCCTCTCCTCCTTCCCCACTCTCTCTCTCTCTCTCTCTCTCTCTCTCTCTCTCTCTCTCTCTCTCTCTCTCTCTCTCTCTCTCTCTCTCTCTCCTCTCTCTCTCTCTCTCTCTCTCTCTCTCTCTCTCTCTCTCTCTCTCTCTCTCTCTCTCTCTCTCTCCCTCTCTCTCGAACGGTCCTTCGTATTATCCTTATAAAGGGTACAAATGGCATACACTGGTCCATGTGAGACAATGGGCTCCCAGACATCCTACTGTTGCCCGGGCCACCCCTCGAAGGTAGGTTCAATTGTCGATTCAAGTTCACCCCAGGTGAGCGGCTCCTCCATTGGGCGCTCGTGGTGGAAGGCTCCCCCGGACGCCTGCCCGATCTTTGCATGCAAGGTAATAGCTTGCTGCCGCTGTAGTGTTACTGACCACCTCTGTCGGAAGGAATGTATCAGCTTCTTGGTCACCGCCGACTTTTCGTCTGCATGGTGATTCTCCCGGGCGGCTACTACCGCCAGCAGGCGGAGGAGTTCCCGGGTGTCGCTGCTGCAGCACCCGTATGTCTCCGTTGCCACACCCAGGACTTTGACGAAGGTGAGTCTTTCGTCGTACAGGTCCCTTTTCTTGTCCTGCATCTCAGCCGCCATCCATCCTGTCCCCTTCCTTGCTGTTGGGTCCCTGGAGGAGATGGGGTCGGTGACAGTGACGTCGCAGACCCATACCGCGCCTGAGTCCGGTTCTCGGAGGGTGATGTCGGCGCGGCGTTGGGTCGTCTCGGGTAGGTATAGGGTCGACTCCTTGTGCACCACGAAGTGCGCCTCGCTGGCGAGGCGCACCCCCAGGTTCACCAGGGCATTGTGTACCCGGATGGGTCCGCCACCGAGGGTGCACCTCAGTAGGTGGTTGGGCAGCCTCTTATCCTTGAGCTCCCTTTTTTCCCTGCAGTTGCAGTTGTCGGGCAGGGAGTGCTGCAGCCCCATCCGGAAGGACAGGGCTGTGGCGAACTGTCCCTTGCTCATTGAGAGGTCCGGGCAGAAGGGGATGGCCAGCAGCCAGTCGCCCGCCCCCGGACCTAGCAGCGACAGTAGGCGCTGCGTATGGCCCATGTTGGGGTTGAGGACCAGTGCGCGGGATTCCGCGACCAGAGCGGCGTGTCGTGCCCCATGCACCTCCAGAGCAAGGGCGTGCTGCAGTTTTGGTGCCGACTCCTCCCGCGGCTGCCGCAGGACGGCTTGTGCGGCTGGTGGCAGGGCGGCTTCCAGGTGAGTGAGGAGGAGGTGCAGGGGGATTGGCGCGGTGTAGGGTGGGGACAGGAGGTCCCGTGCGGTTCCGAGAGGTGATAGCGCGGTGGTGTCAAGAGTGCGGAGAAGGTCGCCTGCCTGTACGGTGGAGGCCAGGTATGCAAATCCTCCTTCCACCACTGGGTCGAGCAGGCCTAGGCCTCCGATGGAGATTGGCAGAGTGGACTGCCGCCAGAGGAGGTCCTGGTCCTCTGGAGTGTGTGGCTGTTTCAGGTCACATGCAGTCAGGGCGGCAGCCAGGAGACGTTTGCCCCACGCTGTCCAGTCGTGGGGCGGGAGCGTGCCCGGTGGCGTCGTCCGGAGCAGGTAGGAGGCTCGCCGCGTGACGCATTTGTTAAGTAGCAGCATCGCTATTTGCGGCTGTAGTTGCTCGAGGAGCGGGAGCGCTGAGGCCGCTTTAAGCAAGGCCGCCCTCATCAGGCGCTCGCACCCTGACGGTGTCCCGATGGGGCTGCCGAGGATGCGCACCGCGTCTGTTCGGAGGGGTATCCCTGCGGGGATGTGCTCGGGGTCCACCTCCGCTGCCGACCAGGCCCCGCATTTTTCGGGGTTGCATTCAAGGCCTGCTGCTGCTATGCGGCCGCTGAATGCGTAGAAGGCCGCCACGCACTTGGACGGCGTTCCAATGAAGGTGACGTCGTCTGCGTACGCCAGCGTGAGGACGCTCGGGTAGTCCTCCGCCGTCCGCTTCAGGGCTGGGTGCATGGCCATGGCGAATAGCAGGGGACCCAGGGGGTCTCCTTGCCGCACCCCCCGTTCGCTGCTGAGGGAGGGGGCGCCGTAGGCGGGGTCCAGGAGGAGGGATGAGGCCCTGCCGTATGAGAGTCTGGCCAGGGGCAGCAGCCGCTTGAGTGGGCTGTTCCGGATGGCGGTGAAGAAGGCCAGGCGTTCAACTGAGTTGAACGCGTTGGTCATGTCAACCTGCAGCACCAGGTGGTCCGGGTGCAGCTGTAGGTGCGAGCGTCAGACGTGGATGACGGTCTCGCCTCCGCCTTTCACCGCCACCCCGTATTGGAGGGGGAGGAAGTGCTGTTGGGCGGTTTCCGCAAGGAGCGAGAGGGCGGCCTTGCCCAAGATGCGAAAGAGGCATTCCCCCACTGCTATGGGCCGGACCCCGCCCCCGGGCTTCTGGAACGGCAGCAGCCGCGATGTGGTGAGCAGCTCCGTCGCCTCAGGAGGTACGTTCCCGGCTAGCGCCGCGTTTACTAGCGTCGTAAGGTGCTGTAGGACGTCGACATTGGTAACGGCGCTTTCGCGGATGTGTTCAAAACACATTCCCGTTGGCCCTGCACCCACGCCGTTCGGGCAGCGTCGTAGCAGGGCCTTCAGCTCAGCGACTGTGATGGCGAGGTGATGCTCCTCGGCTGTCTCAGCAGGAGCGCCAGTAGCGGTAGAGATGGCGGCTGGATTGGCGGCTCTGGGTTGGTGTTGGTGTGGTTGGGTCCACCCTGGAAGGGCGCGTTCAGCACGTGGGTGCTTAGCCAGTAGGGCGCTAAGTATTTCCCCACTCGGCTCGCATACCGGGGTGGATTCGAGGGCCTGGAGCGCTTTGCGAAGGTTCCCTCGCTTAGCCAGGGTTTCCGCCCTAGCGATCTGGCCCGCAGTGTCGTTTGCGTGTCGTGGGGGCTGTGGTAACGCCACAGAGGCGATAGCCTCTTCATAGAGTGTCGCCCATTCCCCCGTGGCGAAATCCTGCAGACGTCGTAACATGCTCTCCCAGTCGGGTTTCCTCGTCGAAGCTGTCGCCAGGGTCAGGCGCGGCAGAAAAAGGAGCAGGCGCCATCCGTTTTGCGAGTGGGGTGCCCGGGACAGGTGGACGAGTGGTGTCAGGAGGCAGGAGGCGAAAGCCGCCTGGATTTCGCGTGGGAGGCGACGGGCTAGGGGTGGCATGCGACAATCTCGCAACTTCGCGATGCCCCACTCCCCGACATTCACGAACAGGTCTTCGCGCTTGGCGAGTGTCAGGGGGGAGAGGACACGCCTTGCTGGCGTTGGCCGGCGGGAACCTGCCGGGCCGCGGCGGGTATTGGATGGGGCGGCCCGTCGTGTGGAATGTGCTGCCACATTCGCGCCTCGGGCAGGGGATTCGTCTGAAATTTCCTCTTCCGAGTCGCCTTCCCAGTTTACCCCAGCTGGGGGGGTATAACTGGGGTCATTTGTGATCTGATAATCAGCGGCTGTTCCAACTCCTCCTTCCTCCCCAGTCCCAGCCCGTCCTCCTCTAACTGCTCCACTTGTTATGTCTGCCCCTGCGCTTCCCTTCGCTAGCTCGACATCGGCCTGACCGTCCGCGACCCCAGCATTGCTAGTTGCAGGTGTGTTTGTGCCGTCGCGCCGTTCGTTGGCCGGCTGCCCAGTTGTTGCCGCGAGTCTGTTCGCCTCGCGCTGCAGTCGTTCCGCGGTACGGCGGAAGGAGCAGCCTCCCTTGGTTGCCAACTTCATGTTTTGTCCCGCCTGTCTCCGTCCGCCCCCGATACGTTTGGTCTCCGTTGCTCGCTCGCGTGCGTTCGGGGCGGTGCGTTGCGCGGTGGCGGTCTCGCGCTCGTCGCTCCGCCTGTCACCCGGTGGTGTCTCCCGTCGTGCGGATGACGCAGGGGCAGCTGCTGTCCCCGTCGCGCCGTCCTCTGTGTGAGGGGGCGTCTTCGCCGGCACGCGTTCTTCCCTTGTCCGGCGTGTCGAGTGTGCTGTCCCCGACCTCTGTGCTGCGGATTGAGCTTCGCGAGCAGGCGGCGCAGGTGGCCGTCTTGACGCGCGCTCTCCAACAGCTGCAGCGTTCGCAGCCCTTGGAGGGGGTGGGTCCTGGTCCACCCTGTCCCCGCTCCCCATCTTCAAGCTCGCGCTTGGGATCTCCCATGCGTTATTCGCCTCCGCGACCGTCGCATCCTGGCCTCCACCATCCGCCTGTCCCTCCTCCTCCCCCGTCCCCTCCTCCTCCGCGTCCTTCGCCTCCCTCGTTACCTGCGCTTCCCCCTCCGTCTGGGCTGCCTCCTCCTCCTCCTCTGCCGCCAGCGGCACCACCAGCCGCTGGCGGATGTGGCGGCGTTGCGGGTCCCAGCAGGCCCAGCGTTTCTCCCCCGGAGCCGTCGCGGCCCAGCAAGCGACTTCGCGAGGGCTTCCTGGAGGGCTCTCCGCCAGCGTCACCTCCCCCCGCGCCGCCTGAAAAACGAAAGTCGACTCCTCCGCCTCCCCCTCGCTTCCCCCGCGGGCCGTGGAGCGGGGCTGCGCGGAGCCAGCTGTCGTCCGCATCGGCGTCAGCGTCGCCTGGCGGTCCTGCGTCTCGTCGGCCTCCGCCCCCCCCTCGTGCTGCCCCTCCGTCGTCGTTTCCGTCGTACGAGGCGGTGGCTGGCGTCGTCGCCTGTATCGGCGCGGTGGCGGAGGTGCTGGACTGCCTCCGCCCTCCTCCCCTTCCCGATCTGGGTCGGAAGCCGGCTGGCGGTCGGTCATGGCGGCCCGCGATGTCACGCCGCCAGCAGCGACGCGCGATGGAGGCCGCGTCGCTGCTCCTCTGGCGGCTGGCCTATGGGTTGCCGCCAGGAGCAGGGGCGGGGGAGCTGGATCCCGCTCCTCGCGCCGTTGATGAGTTGAATCGGTCGCTCGTGGCGAATCAGCGCCCGGCGATCTTGGCCGCTTGCGCGGCGGTGCTTCGGGCTTTGGAGAGTCGGGCCGGGGCCCTTGTCCCGCCGTCGGCTTTGGAGGTGTAGTAGGTGGGCGGTTGTCTGGCGTGTAGGCCAGGTCCCCGTCATCGTGCGCCGTGGGTGGCGCCGTAGCCATAGGCTATTTGCTAGGTTGCAGTCCCCTGTAGGGGCATGCTTGTATGCTGTAATGTCCCTGGTTTTACAGTGGATCCCTATCCCCGCCCCTTCTCTGCCCTCCTGCGCGGCCGGAGGCCGCGCCGCGAGCGACGGCGGCCGAAGGCCGCCGGCGCGAGCGCCGCTGCAGGGACCAGATGAAGAACTCAACTCAAAACTAAATAATGAACTCAAGGATGGGTGGGAGAGCCTTATATGCCATGGGCTCTCTCTCTCTCTCTCTCTCTCTCTCTCTCTCTCTCTCTCTCTCTCTCTCTCTCTCTCTCTCTCTCTCTCTCTCTCTCTCTCTCTCTCTCTCTCTCTCTCTCTCTCTCTCTCTCTCTCTCTCTCTCTCTCTCTCTCTCTCTCTCTCTCTCTCTCTCTCTCTCTCTCTCTCTCTCTCTCTCTCTCTCTCTCTCTCTCTCTCTCTCTCTCTCTCTCTCTCTCTCTCTCTCTCTCTCTCGCTCTCTCTCGCTCGCTCTCGCGAGCGCCGCTGCAGGGACCAGATGAAGAACTCAACTCAAAACTAAATAATGAACTCAAGGATGGGTGGGAGAGCCTTATATGCCATGGGCTCTCTCTCTCTCTCTCTCTCTCTCTCTCTCTCTCTCTCTCTCTCTCTCTCTCTCTCTCTCTCTCTCTCTCGCTCTCTCTCTCTCTCTCTCTCTCTCTCTCTCTCTCTCTCTCTCTCTCTCTCTCTCTCTCTCTCTCTCTTCCCCCCCCCCCCTACTCTTCCTCCATCCCTCCCTCCCTCCCTCCCTCCCTCCCTCTCCCTCTCTCTCTCACTTTGTCGCGGCCTTTTCGCCGCAATGCGTGCACCTGGCAGCCTGCGCCTTTCCTAGGGCTTTTGCTCACTCCCTTCCCACTCTCCACCAACTCCAGGCCTGCTCGTTCTCCCCCGCTTTTCCGCGCCCGTGCTGCTCATCCCGCATTGCCCTATGTCGCCTACTTTTCTGTCATATTTTCTGCATGCCGCTTCCCTCTATCACGCTTCGGTCGTCAGTCCTAATCTCTCCCCACGGTTTCACCTGTCACCTCCGCTCGGGTCGCTGGTCCTGGCTTGTTGCATTTCCCTCGCTTCGCTCGTCGCGCCATTCATGCGCCACGCATCCTACGCGCCAATTTAGCGCCCCCCCTTTACCCGCGATAGTGGCCATTGGTGAGTGGGGGTCTGTCCCCTTGCGAACTGCGGGTTTGTGCCCTCGGCGCAACGCCCTCCCACCTCGACGTGGCCTCTCCCTGCACGGGCCCTTTTGGCTTTTCCTTTGTTTCTTCTAACCGTGTCTATCTGGATTCGGTGAATCCTCTCTTTGGCTGGGACGAGCCTCCTTGGGGGGCGTTTCTGCTTTGAGCGAGTGTCGCGCGGTGCGTGCTACGGTTTTTATGGCATTGTATCTAGCTAGATGCGGGTCTCTCTACACTGGAGGCAGATGATTCAGCACGCGTTCGTTCCTGATAGGTAGTTGCGCTCTCGGGAGAAGTGGTGCACTCTCTAGGGTCTGCAGTTGGCAGTCTGAGATAAGAGTTTGTGAATTCGTCGCACAGGCCCTTGTTTCCTGTCGTCATGCCCAGTGCTGAAACCGTTGGTTTTCTTGAACGTGTCACGAAGGCTGGTTTATTCACCCGGTTCTGTCACGCAGTTTTGAACCTTACCCACGTCGCTGAGTCGTTTTATCCACAATGATCGTCGTCTTTCCAATTTTTTGTCGAGCTGTTTTGTGCCACGAGTTTTTAAGAACACGCCCCACCAGCTTGTGTCCCATCTCTGTAGCCAGCGAGACGTTCCAACCGTCGCAAGATCCAGGCGAAGTACTGAACATTCTCGCAGGGACGGATTGTTTTTCGCTGTTTGTTCGAGGGTTCTTGGATCCACTCGCCCATTTCGCCTGTGACCAAAACCAAAACTTTTGGATTTGGTTTTCTGCTTCTTGAGACCCTCGCTTTAAGAGCAAAATTCACCCTCAAAGGCCACCCAGTATTTGTGAGGAAGGGAGATAATCTCCTATGTAAAAGCTTGGTTTTATCTCCTATTCTGGAAAATGAGGCTACGATAGCTGGGATGGACGCGCATGGACCTTTGCTCCTCGTTTTAGGGTTCCCTTTAGGAAGGACCGACGCCTCAGTCAAGTTGTCGATTGCTTCCACTCGCGTGGGGATTCGGTATTTTCATAGGTGCGCTGGCAGCAAGCTGCTGCTGATTCGGTCATGATTCACCAACCCGCATTCGAGGAGGATGCGGCCTGTTTGGCGGGGAGCCTGGGAGGCGATGGCCACTTCACGTGCACTGCCGTGCCGTCCGTCACAGTCACAGCGCAGCACCAACCCCCCCAAGCCAAACCAATGCCGCTCCGCAGGACCACGCACCGACCGACGCAGGTCCGGCTCGGCACTTGGGTGGGAGCCGGCGGGTTCCGCCATGAAAAAATGCCTCTGGAGCGGAAATCCTCCCCGGGGCATTAATTTAAGGCCAGGCGACCGTCCGCCGTCCGGCGGACCATCCGCCGAGTGCGGATCGTGTAAAGATACTGTATGTTTCAGACGTGCGTCCAGACTCTGCTCGTACTGCCGTCCGTCCCAACATTGGAACATTTCGGTCCTTGGGATCCGCGCTCGGAGTGGCACTCTCCTGATATCGCGCTCACCACTCCCCCTGATATTTACTACTAGATTCCCGTCCCCCGACGCGAAACGTCTGAGCACCTTGTCGCACCGCACCTTGCCGCACCTTGCCGCACCTTGCCGCACCTTGCCGCACCTTGCTTGAAGTAGTAGTAGTACTGCAGCTTACTTCTCCGCACTAGTTGTAGCCGCAGCCCTCGAGTAGAGTCGGCAGAAGGCCCCGAGTAAGGCGTCACGGATTACGAGACGCCTGCCGCTAGGAAGTCAAATCCCAAGACGCGGTCCCGAGAGGTGAGCGGCGAGGGGTGAGCGGCGAGGGGTGAGCGGCGACCAGAGCCGCAGAGCCCGTTCAGTCCATCTCAGTGCGTTGCTTGAATCCCCTCTGCTGCACCCCCTTCCGTCTGGCGTCTCAAGCGTGAGGCGACTCATTCTCTCGTTTCTGCCTCCGCCGTTCTGCAGGAGGACGCGGTTCTGCTGCGCGGAGCTTCAAGGCGGTTGTCTTTGCACTCGTGTGATTCTTTCTCATCGTTGCCTCCCCACTCACTCCCACACTCACTCACGGCAGGAGGACGCGTTTCTGCTGCGCCGTGCGCTGCATTGCGGCACGAGGCGGTGGGGAGCGCTGGGAAGGAGCGGTCGTCTGAAGAGAAACAACAAGTCGTGCTGTAACCGCTACATCTTCCTCAGAAGGTAACCTCTCGCACGCTGCATCGATTTCAGAGATCTGTCTTCTTTAAAGGATGTGCCTTTTCTGAGCGTCCGTCCAATGTGCGCCCTTGCGGTGGGTGCAGGAAGTTCCTTGGCCGCTTTCAGCAGCACCTCTGGAGGTAACACTTGCACGCCGCCGCACCCCCCTGCCACATTCCCATGGCTCAGAGCCCGCCCCTACATCATGGCCAGCAGCAGCAGCAGCAGCCAGCTAGGCCGTCTGAGTCACCTCCACAAACGCTTGCGTTCGGTGGGCTGTCGTTTGATGAGTGCAGGAGCGTCTTCCTCTCACCCAATTCCCGCCAAGCAGCAGCCCAAGCCAACCTCTCGTCTGCCTTCGCCTCTGCCGCTGCCTCCCATGCCGCTGCCTCCTTTACCGCTCCTCTCTCCACTGCTGCTGGAGCCAGCGCTGCAGTCCTGGACGCCACCGCTGCCTTCTATGCGGTGATGAGCGCAGCTCTGAGCGCCGACCCTGCAGTGGTGAGCGCAGCTCTGAGCGCCGACCCTGCAGTGGTGAGCGCAGCTCTGAACGCCAACCCTGCAGTGGTGAGCGCAGCTCTGAGCGCCGACCCTGCAGTGGTGAGCGCAGCTCTGAGCGCCGACCCTGCAGTGGTGAGCGCAGCTCTGAGCGCCGACCCTGCAGTGGTGAGCGCAGCTATGAGCGCCGACCCTGCAGTGGTGAGCGCAGCTATGAGCGCCGACCCTGCAGTGGTGAACGCAGCTATGAGCGCCAACCCTGCAGTGGTGAACGCAGCTATGAGCGCCGACCCTGCAGTGGTGAGAGCAGTTATGAGCGCCGACCCTGCTGCCTCCGATGCCGCTGCAGCGGTGAGTGCAGCGACCGGCCCCTGCTCAGCTGCCATCGACGTGCCCAAGAAGCGCTCAAGGCAGGGCTGCAGCACGGGGCTTGGGGCCGACCCACCAGTGCGGGGCGGAGCTGAGTATGGGGTGGCGTGTGGGGGGGCGCAGCACTCGCGGTCCTTGGAAGAGCTCTGTGCGCCGCAGGGGGGGGGGGAAAGGGGGGAGCGGGGGGCAGGCAGCGGGGTGGGGGCGCGTGGAGTTAGAGAGCGCCCTGCTGGATGGGCGGCTGCTGGATGACCCGCTGCTGGATGACCCTCTGCTGGGATTCAGCCGCGACGACCCTGCATTCAGCTGCGAAGACCCTGGCTTCAGCGTGCCACCTGCAGCACTGTCAGCGCCGCTGTCCACCCAACTTGCTGTGCTGGCCGGCTGTGGTCCCGGGAAGGTGAGGAGGTGCCACGGAGGGACTGCCCTCACCAATGCTTGTGATGGAGGGCAGGAGCTGCTGACCCCGTCGATTGATACGTGCACCGAGGTGCAACGCAATGGGCCTCTCTTTCTCGACACATGCCACTTGGTGCACCAACTCCCTCTCCTCATGCAAGAAGCCCAGCCAGACCAGGGCTCTCTTCCGCTTCCCACGTCCCCACCTCACCTGTGGCTGTCTGGTTCCCTTCCTGCCGCCCGCCTGCCCGTGCCACCCCTGCCATCCGCCTTCACCCCCTGTGCTCCCTCCCACCTGCCCTTGGTGAGTGAGCCTGAGGGGCAGGCGCTGGCAGTCCCAGCTGCTGGGGCAGCCGTGGCAGAGTGGGCGGTGGAGCAGCAAGGAAGCGGGGAGGGAGTTGCTGAATCGCTCTGCCACCATCAGCAGCAGCAGCAGCCGCAGCATCACCTGCAGCAGCAGCAGCAGCAGCAGCAGCAGCAGCAGCAGCAGCAGCAGCAGCAGCAGCAGCAGCAGCAGCAGCAGCAGCAGCAGCAGCAGCGGCAGCAGCAGTTCCCAGACCTTCACGTGTGTGCACGCATGTACTCGTGTTCATTGCACCAGCCCCTGTCACAGCCTCGACCACACATACCGCCACAGCCACTTCAAGAGCCACTACCACACCCACTGTCACACCCACCACCGCAGCCAGTGCCGCGTGCTCTTCTGCAGCCTCTCCATTCCCAGCAGCCAGTGCACAAGGACTGTGCAAACACCCCTCAAGGTGCCATGCGAATGATTGCGAACCCAAGGGGTTCGCGCATGCGCACGCTCATGCCGCGCCTGCTGCCGCGCTCACTGCAGCAATCTTCGCCACACTCCCTGCCAGGCACTTCGCTGCTGCAGGGGGGCTTAATCCATCTACCAGGGGAGTTCAGGAATCATGGCGGTGCTTCCGTACCTCGGATGGAGGATACTGTGGAAGCTCACATGGCTTCCGAACATCTCAACACGACGAACCACTATAATTCATACGGAGGTTCCACGACAAGTGTACTTGAAGTTAGAGGGCCAACCACTTCGAGGCCCATGATCGGTTGGGGGTTTGACATGCCAGAAAGTGGCAATGAGCTGAGGAGAATATGCAGCTTCACTAGTACATACGCATCCCCTCTTTATACTCCCTCGCAATGTGTCTTTGCTCAAAGCTCTTGTACATATTCTGGCTAGGTTTTGCAATGCGTTTGACCAATATGCCCTTGACTTGATTGAGGAAGGCTTACGTAAGGAAATGTAATATATGTCAACTTATACATATTATCTATGTAGAAGTTATAGGCTAGACTGAGGTATGCTTCTAGTGAGTACAACCAACTAGTATTTGTTCTAGGTTTCCACCTCTAGTAATCATTCGTTTCTACGTTAACATGGTATCACGCTTAGGTTAGGATCCCCCCGCCTACCGCTTCCGCCCGTCGCGCCTCCTAGGCCCCGTCGCGCCCCCTAGGCCCCGTCGCGCCCCCCCTGGGCCCCGTCGCGCTCGTTAGGCCCCGTCGCGCCCCCCCTGGGCCCCGTCGTGCCCGCTGGGCCCCGTCACGCCTCCTAGGCCCCGTCGCGCTCCCCCTCGGCCCCGTCGCGCCCACTGGGTCCCGTCGCGACCCCTAGGCCCTAACGCGCCCCCGCTGGGCCCCGTTGCGCCTCCTAGGCCCCGTCGCGCCCCCCATGGGCCCCGTCGAGCCCGCTGAGCCCCGTCGTGCCTCCTAGGCATCGTCGCGCCTCCTAAGCCCCGTCGCGTCCCCCCCCTCTGGGCCCCGTCGCGCCCGTTCGGCCCCGTCGCGCCCCTCCTAGGCCCCGTCGCGCCCGCTGGGCCCCTTCGCGCTTCCTAGGCCCCGTCGCGCCTGCTAGGCCCCGTCGCGCCCCCCCTGGGCCCCGTCGCGCCCGTTAGGCCCCGTCGCGGCCCCCCTGGGCCCCGTCGTGCCCGCTGGTCCCCGTCGCGCCTCCTCGGCCCCGTCGCGCCCCCCCTGGGCCCCGTCGTGCCCGCTGGGCCCCGTCGCGCCCCTTAGGCCCCGTCGCGCCCGCTGGCCCCTGTCGCGCCTGCTGTTAGCGCTCGCCCGCCTGGCCTCCTCCTAGTGCCGCTCGGCCTCCTCCTAGTGCCGCCCGGCCTCCTCCTAGTGCCGCCCGGCCTCCTCCTAGTGCCGCCCGGCCCCTTCCTAGCGCCGCCCGGCCTCTCCTCAGCGCTGCCCGGCCCCTCCTCGTGCCCGACCGGCCCCAGCAGCACCAGCCTGGCCCCTCCCAGCACCAGCCCGGCCCTAGAGCACCTGCCCGCCTCCCCTGCTCGGCCTGCCGTGTCCTCTCGGGCCCTGTGTCTTCTGCTTGCCTGCGCTGGGACGCCTAGCTGCTGCCCTACTGGAGAGTGCTGCCGCCGTGTCCCCGCGCCGCTGTGCTCCTGTGCCGCTGAGGAGCTGTGCTGCTGTGCCGCTGTGTCGCTGAGGAGCTGTGCCGCTGACCCTGCACGATGGCTGACTTTGTGCTCCGCCTGGACGCTGAGGGCCACGCGGTTGACTTCGCCGCCTGGCTCTCCGATCTTCGCCGCCAGCTTACAGGTCAGCGCCAGGATGGCCACTCTCTGGTTGTCCATGCTGATGGCTTGCTCCCCCGTCCCCCTGCACCTACTCCCCTCCCTGCTGACCCCTCCTCTGATGACCGTGAGGCTTTCTCTACTTCTGCGCTAGCCTGTGCGGTCTGGGACTCACGCGATGCAGTAGCTCAGGTTGCTATTAGTCACGCCCTCCCTGTGTCTGAGCGCTCGCGTTTTGCTACTGTTGAAACGGCCAAAGCTTATTTAGACGCCGTTATTGCTCGCTATTCCACCCCTGCCTCTGCTTCTGCTGGCCGCTTGCTCTTTCCGATGCTGTTCCCAGACCTGGCTGCCTTCCCTACTGTCGCAGATTTTGCCACTCATTTGCGTGCCCTAGAGACTCGCTATCGCACTGCCAGCACTGCTGCCCAGCTCACTGCGCTCCCCCCTCCTTTCTGCATGACGCTCTATTTTATCGCTATGCGCCTGCCAGACCGCCTCGCTAGTGCTCGCGACCACTTTCTTAGCCAGCACCCGGGTGACCTCACCCTGACCGCCTTTGTCGACACCCTCACTGAGATCGAGACTCGCCAGCGCACTATCGCTCAGTCGAGCGGTGCGCCGGCAGTCTCTATCTTTCACGGTTGTGCCCCTTCCCCGTGCACGTTCACTGACGTTTCGGCTGCGGTCGCCACGGCGACCCCTCTTACCGAGACGGCTGCTGCTGTCCACCCGCAGCAGCGCTCGCGTCGCGGTGGCCGTGGCCGCCAGGGAGGTAGGGGTGGTGACGCAGGTGGTAGTGGTCGTGGTGGTGGTGACGGTAGTCCGCCTGAGGGGACTACCATCGGTGGGCAGGAGCAGCAGCCCCAGCAGCAGCAGGACCAGCCCCAGCCGCAGCCGCCGTCCCAGCAGCACCCGCCGCAGCCGTGGGCTCGTCTCCCGCCTGGTTGGCCCGGCACCTCCGGAGGCGGTGGCCGTGGTGGCGGCCCGCGCAGCTTGGCGTCTACCAGCGGCTCCAGTGCTGTGACCTGCCAGTACCAGCTTCAGACCGGGCCTCTCCGCGGCACTCTGTGCCGCCGCCCGCACCCGACCGCCCGCTGTTTCCGCCGCCTCGACGATCTTTTTCGTCGTCGCTTTGGCCCGGCCCCGGACCTCCCTGACTGGCACAGCCTGCTCCGCCAGGGCATGCCGATCTTTGAGTTAGACATGGATCAGATAGGTGCTGCTTTGCATGCTTTGTATGCTGACGCTTCTAGTGTTGATGGATCTTACTACCATGTGTACTCTAGTTTAGGTGTTTCACCCTTGTGTAGCTTAGCTTCCCCTGCTGCGACAGGCGTAGGACTGCCTAGGTTGCCTAGTCTAGTCGCTGCACCGGCTCCGTCCGCGGCCTCCGCCACTGCGTCGCTGTCCTTCACTCTCGACTCTGGTGCTTCTGCCTGCTTCTTCCGCGACCGTTCCACGCTCACGCCGCTTGCTGCACCTGCTGTTGTCTCTCTCGCTGACCCCTCTGCGGGTCCGGTCGTCGCGCGCAGTTCTACGTCCCTTCCCTGTCCGGCAGTTCCCTCGGGCTCCCTTACTGGCTTCCACGTTCCCTCGTTCTCCAGGAACCTGGTTGGTGTCGGCTGTCTCCAGGACCTCGGCGTCACCACCACGTTCCCCGGGCACGAGCGGTTCGCTGTCTGTTCTGAGGCTGTCTCAGGTTCCCCCCTTGCGACGTTCCCCCGGGACCCGGTGTCCGGTCTGTTTACCCTACACACCGCTTCCCCCCCGGTTGGTGCGTCCTCCCAGGTCGCTGCAGCTTGCTCGTGTCGGTCCCTCACTCACCCCTCCCTTCTCTGGCACCACCGCTTAGGTCACCCTGCTCTCCCGCGTCTGCGTCACATGTCCCAGCACGGTCTTGTCTTAGGTCTCCCCGCGTCGCTCCCTGCCCTTCCTCCCTCGACTGCGCCACCGTGCACGCCTTGCGTCGAGGGTCGGCTCCGCCGTGCTCCTCACTCCTCCTCGCTGCGTCCTGCTACTGCCCCCCTTCAGACCTTGCACTTGGACGTTTGGGGCCCTGCCCCCGTCCCCGCACCGCGCGGTGAGCGCTACTTCCTTGTGCTCGTTGACGACTACACGCGCTACACCACGGTGTTTCCCCTGGAGCGGAAGGCCGACGTGCCCGACGTTCTTCTCCAGTGGGTTGTAGCTGCGCGTCTCCACCGCGGTCTCCCCGTGTTGTGTCTCCACTCCGACCGTGGCGGCGAGTTCGCCTCTGGTCGGCTTGGACAGTTCTGTCGTGCGGAGGGCATCACCCAGTCGTACACGTTGCCGGACTCGCCACAGCAGAATGGGGTTGCTGAGCGCCGCATCGGCTTGGTCATGGAGGTCGCCCGTACCTCCATGATCCATGCCGATGCCCCCCATTTTCTGTGGCCGTTCGCTGTTCGCTACGCGGCTCACCAGCTTAACCTGTGGCCACGCTCCCAGCGGCCGCAGGTTTCGCCGACCCTCCTTTGGACCGGGTCCCCCGGTGACGCGTCTGCGTTCCACGTCTGGGGCTGCCTTGCTCACGTTCGTGCCTCTGGCACGGACAAGCTCACTGCCCGCACTGTCCCCTGTGTCTTCCTCGGTTTCCCCCTGGACTCGTCTGACTGGCTTTTCTACCACCCGCCGTCTCACCGCTTCCTCCACTCTCGTGACGTCACCTTTGACGAGTCCGTCTCCTTCTACCGCCGCTTCCCTCACCGAGGTCTCCCAGTTGCCCCCCCCCTTTTCCTTGCTCCCTCTCCCCCGGTAGCCCCTGCCCCTCTCCCGCCTCGTCCTGCCCCGTCTGGTGTCTCCCACGTCACTCCCCTCCCGTCGGTTGTCCCCGTTGAGGAGTCTGCTGACTCTGGTGGTACCCCCGGTCCGTCCTTGCCACGTCCCCCTTCCCCAGTGCCTCCGCCCCCACTGTCGCAGTCGCCGACCCCGCTGCCGCCGCCGTCGCCGTCGCCGCCGCAGCCGTCGCCGCTGTCGCCGCCACTGCCGCCGCTGCTCTCGGCCCCTGGGGGTGCTGGTGTGGAGGAGGGTGTTCGTCCTGCGGCTTCTGGGGGTGCCGCTGGTGTTGGAGGGGGTTCTCACTCTTGGGGTGTTGGTTCTGGGGGTGCTGCTGTTGAGTGTTCTGCCGACGGTCGTTCTGCCTCTGCTGGTCCGAGAGTTCCGGCCCAGCCGTCGTCGCCGCCACAGCAGCCGTCGCCGCCGGTTTCCGCTCTCCGCCTGCTCGGCCTTCCCTCCCCGGACCGCGCGCCAGTGTCTCCCCCACCGCCTCCTGACCTCCCTGTCTACGGTCCTGTGTTCCCGCCGCCAGACTCGTCTCCGGCCCGTCTTCCTCCTCGTTCCCCTCCTGTGTCTCCTCCGCTGTCCCCTGACCCTACCCCTCCGTCTCACGTTTGGGCTCGCCGTCCCTCCCGTGCTCGTCCCGTCTCTCCTGTCCTGCCCACCCACCCTATGTTGCTCCGTTCCCACTCGTCTCGTCCTCCCCTCCTCCCGTCCCCTCCTCCCTCGTCCCTTGCTGTTGCACCTCCTCCGTTCTCTGACTACCTCCGTGCTGCTCGTCCCCTTGTCCCTCGGGTCCTTGCCTCTCTTGTTACCGACCCTGCTGTTCCTGTCTCGCGCCTTGACGCGCTTGTCGCTGCTGTCGCTGACTTCGCTTCTA